CTATAAAAGTCATTGTGTAATAAAATGCCTCCGACGGGATTCGAACCTGCGACATCAATACAATTAAAAAAATAAAAAATAAAAGAAAAAAAAGTACAAAAAACCTAATAAAAACGAGATAACAATAAAATAAACTAGAAAAAGCTTATAAAAATGTAATAACAGAAATAATAATAATAATAATAATAATTAGTAATAATAATTTCAAAATAATGTCGGCATAATTTATACAAAATCTTCTTGTAGTGGCTGAAGTTGGGGTTTATAATTGTTTCTATTAGTGCCAATTCCAGAAATCTAAAGGTGCTCTAAAATCCACACTTTAGCCCCAACCATGGTGGGTTGAGTTTGGGTGTGGAATCTATCTCGAACCAGCCACTTGGCAGTTATGATTAGTGTCTCCATCCTAGACTTGTCAACACCGTTACCATCGTTATCATTTTTTTTTGTGGTTATATAAATAAAAAAAACATTTATGGTGGGGCTGAGGTCTTGAGTCTTGAGTTGAATACTCCTTAAAAAGCATCTTGCTTGTCCTAGGAGGTTTCGTGCTGTGGAGTGTGCTATTTGGTGCTCGCAAAACCAGTCAGTGTAAGTTAATTAGTAAAGTGATTTAAGAGTGCAAGTAAAATTTGAAAACATTTCGATTGCTAAAACTGTTTGTGGGATGCTGTAAGAAGCAACTCCCTCAGTACTGGCAATGCCAAGGTTTGAAATTGGGTGAGTGTTGGTGATGTTACTACTGTAGTTGTAATGGTAACCTGTTCCACGTAGATATTTTGTGCGCACAAAGAAGGAATATCTATAGTTGTCGACTCTTGTTTGTAGGTAGGTGTGGGTAGTTCTCAACTGTCTCTTCCTTCCCCACCCCACCGAATCCCCCACCTCTACTTTTTTAAACAGATCTTGGCCCATGTCCCTGACAAATGACAATAAAACATGCATCTGTATCTTTATCCCTATCTATTTTGTATACATTCATCCCAATTCCCCAACTCAGAAAGCAATACCCCAGACAGAACCAATTATTATTAATAGGAATTATGTTTTGACCTACCTGTGCTATCGTACTTAATGCTCACTACGTACACAAAATATTTGCGGTGCTAACTTTTGAAGTCGGTCTAATGAAATTGACTATGGAGTTGTGTTTAAAATAGGGCCTACACAATGCAGTAATGAATAGGGCCTACTAGAATTACAATTAAGACATTAATAAACACCCTTAAGTTTGAATTCTGTAGCCAACAAAGAAATTTATTCTAAAAATAACAGGACAATACTGTATAAGATTTGCTCCTGGTGTACATATCAATCACCCAGCAAGCTGCAGGGTATAATATTTGAAGACCATAATAATAAAAAAAGACCTGTCACATGCTACACAGATTCAAATATACTGTGAGAAAACTGCCCTCTACAGTTTAGCACAATCTTGATAATCACATAATACCATCAATATGAAATAGAGATGGTTCAATATATATACATAAATAAATTTCACACTACAGTATTCCAAATTAAAGATAAACTACGAACAAACACCATTTAATAATTATACAGTAATAAACAAACTTCAAATTGGGGAGAGATAAAAGAAAAATGGTCTTATTGAAATATCCAGCAATTAAAATGTACAACTTAACATTAATTAGTATTAAGTTTTAAACTGTTTTCATCTTTTTCATTTAATTGCAAATATTGTACAATTTAGCAGCAATCTAAATAATAAAGATAGAAAGAACTCATATCATTATTTATTATAAACTACAACACATTTTACAAATGATATAAATACTAGAATACTAAAAATCAAATCAAAGTGTTGATTTTCTTTTTGAAACACACAAAAAACAGAATATTATTGAATAAACATTTTTTAAAGCAATATGTGAAGTAATGAATTACACAACATTGGACCTAAATTAAGCAATTAATGAAAAATGTAACAAACAATTTGATAACATTTATGACTAACACCATACTTATACATCCGGCCAATAGTAAACAATTTAGACATTTTGAATATGAGATACAATGAGCCAGTTATGAGAATGTTTACATGTTAATGGTCATCTGGATCAATGCATGCTCACAATTACTTGACCATCATGGACTGCCACTTTAAAATAAGAGTATTGTAAAATATGAATTATTGTAAAATGATAATGTTCAACAGTAATAATAGTAGTAGGAACAATAATAAATTATAACAATAGTAGTAGTAATATAATAATAAAAATAAGAAAATAAAATTGAATACCTTTAAAATAAAGTAGTACTCTATTTTAATCAATAATTATTTATCAATTATAAATATTTAAATATTTTCTAATAGATGTATTAAAGTAAAACACATTTTATTCTACAGTTTACTATTTTTAAGTTTTCTTTCACTCAAATGTGCATTCTTCATATAAGTAAATGTATAAATGAAGTAATTGTATTTTTACAAAATACATAAATGAGGCTTTTGATAATTCAAGCTTGATTTACATAAAAACGCTACACGTTCTAACTATATTTTGCAAATTCTACACTGCAATAACATGCTCCTCATAGGGAACCACAATTAACTTGCCAAATCAGTCAAGAACAATTTTTAACCAATTATCAAATGAAATCAGCTGATCCGATCTGCTTTGGAATTTACTCTCGGTGATCATACTCAATGCCATGGCGAATTTAAATACAGGTTACCAGAGGCAGATCGAGAATTTTTCAAATAGGGGAGGGGGCCCCCACAACATTTTCAGCAAAAGTGAGTAGTGCTAATTTCAATACATGACATTGATATGCATTGAAATTTATAAAAATTAAAATTTAGTGGCAAAATGAAGTTTCTCTGTTTAATATATCTAGTAGTGTAGAACACTGAGTGACAGCAAGGTTTGGCTTTTTTTTATTGTCTTATCCCTCATAAGCTTGATAATGTTGATCAATTTTATTTATTAATGTCCACCACAGTGACAGAAACATCCATAGATCTACATTGGCCAACAAAATTTGCCACCTGATATTATAATATCAAAGCTTCTATGAAATTGCTACCAACTGTCCAGATTTGGTAGCAATATTAAAAAAAGTGATTATGCTGGTAATAATCACTTTAGTAGTTTGTATCTGGCATAAGTTAAATCCTATAAAAATTCCAGGTGGAACAATGTGCAACTCCATGGCTTTAGAGGGGACCATGTCATAAAATCAGCATAACTGCAAAGATCTTTCAAATTGGTTTGTTTCAAAAAATTACTGTATCCAGGTGTAACAATTGCACATATCATTTTTGGTTATTACAATTCAGGCGCAACCCAAGGGTCAACCTGTGCTGACATCTGTCAAACGACACATTTGTTCCAAGATGTATCAGTCCTCTTTAGTTAATCAGTGTGATCATCCCAGACTCAGACCAAGCAGCCCAAAACAAATATTTATACCATAACCTATGATCGAAACATACCATTTAGACGAAAGTGCATATTATGTCAAATTACTGCAACTCTAACCTGTGGCAGGAATGTCCACAGATCTATGGCATGTCTGAGTGTTTCCAATTTTCTACTTTACATTCCAAAGTTATCAACCACTGTACATTTTGTTCATTCCAATTTACTGCGTTCAATATTCGTGACAATCTCTTCATCAGAATCATCAAATACAGCCAAAGCACTAAAAGAGAAAAAAAAATGCAAGTTAGTTATTTAAATAACCAATCAATAAACTAATTAATCAATCAAGATCAGATGTTCAACTTTATTTTAACACAGGGCCCAAGTCTCCCTAAGTCGCAGAAGGCCTCAAGCAAGCAAAAATGTCGGGAAAATAACCAATGTCCTGTATTACTTAAAATAACTAATGTCCCGTACCATGAAATAACTAATGTCCTGTAACTTAAAATAACCAATGTCCTGTAACTTAAAATAACCTATGTCCTGTAACTTAAAATAACCCATGTCCTATAACTTAAAATAACCCATGTCCTGCAATTTGAAATAACCAATGTCCTGTAACTTAAAATAACCCATGTCCTGTAACTTAAAATAACCCATGTCCTGTAATTTGAAATAACCAATGTCCTGTAACTTAAAATAACCCATGTCCTGTAACTTAAAATAACCCATGTCCTGTAACTTAAAATAACCAATGTCCTGTAACTTAAAATAACCCATGACAAGTAACTTAAAATAACCCATGACCTGTAACTTAAAATAACCAATGTCCTGCAACTAAAATAATCCATGACAAGTAACTTAAAATAACCCATGACCTGTAACTTAAAATAACCCATTTCCTGTAACTTAAATAACCAATGTCCTGTAACTTAAAATAAATAATGTCCTGCAATTTAAAATAACTAATGTCCTGTAACTTTAAATAACCAATGTCCTGTAACTTAAAATAACCTATGTGCTGTAACTTAAAAATAACCTATGTCATTTAACTTAAAATAACTTATGCCCTGTAACTTAAAATAACCAATGTCCTGTAACTTAAAATAAATAATGTACTGTAAGTTAAAATAACTAATGTCCTGTAACTTAAAATAACCCATGTCCTGTAACTTAAAATAACCTACACTGTATGTGCTGTAACTTAAAATAACCTATGTCATTTAACTTAAAATAACCCATGTCCTGTAACTTAAAATAACCTATGTCCTGTAACTTAAAATAACCTAAGTCCAGTAACTTAAAATATCCCATGTCCTGTAACTTAAAATAACCCATGTACTGTAACTTTAAAATAACCCATGTACTGTAACTTCAAATGACCCATGTCATTCATGTTTTTACTGTATTACCTACAGTCTCAGAATAAATCCCGAAGGTATCACCAGGCACAGCAAAATAAAATTAAATGTGTTTAGAAACCTTGTTTAAACAGATCTGCCGGAAGTGTCTAGTGGTGAGTAAATTACGAGTCATGGGCAGGGGGAAAGAAAAAGTTGGGCCCCTTGAATATAGTACTTTCACTCACTAAGTGACCATGGTCACGGTGGGTAATCTCCCTACAGGTAACTAATATTTCCACACACATTTTGAATTTGAATATTTGCATGCAAATTTATCATTAGGTCTATGCATAAAACCTCATTTTCTTACATACATTACAATTAATGAGTGTGCATATTTACATGCTAATTCATGAATGTACTAAAATGTTCAAAATAAAGCTTTGCCAATATAAATATGCATTACTAATCATTCAATGAATCATTTTTTTAGAGCAGATCCAAAAGAAAAAAGAGAAGAAAAGAAAGTCAAGAAAGAGGAAAGTACGATATCACAGTCCTACTCCAAAACAAACTAATTTTCAATTTAAATTTCATGTTCCAGTATCTATGGTCTCAAGCATTTCTAAACAAAAAAGTGTCACTCGGTACCACAAGTTATGCTACTCTCTGAAATAAGAAAATAAGATTAGGCCAATTTGAATCAAATGACCATCGTTCTTTATGGTCTAATCGATAGTAGGCCTTTATCATCAAAACATGAAAATTAGTAGGCCTATATAAATTTTTAATCGATTTTAACATGTTTTGTATAATGTTTTTATATTTAATAATAGCCCTACTAAGACGGGTAATCATTAAATTCTTTATTTATAGATGTTTCAGGCCGGAAGTGGATTCTGGGGTGGGTGGAATGCACCAGCCGAGGCACAATGGATTATTGAAAATTAAAAAAAATTTACTGTATTGTTAAAGATGTATTGTCCCTTGCTAATGTCAAAAAATCATTAAAAAATAATTTTGAAATAAACTTGCTCATATTACAATAGCATACAAATTATTAACTTCTGCATAGAGAAATTATTGAATTTAAAAAATGTTTACCCTGATGAAGTGGCCGTGTGCATAGCTCAGAGTCATAGCAATTTTGGGATATCGTACGAACAAGAAATGGGGAGAAAGAAAGAATAAAAAAAAGATGATGATCCAGTACAATAACAATAGGTGATCAGCTCGAGAAGCGGATCACCAATAATAAAAAAAATTCCAGTGACTGGAAGTGTTTCTATCATTTTTTGCTGTAAACTGATGGGTAGACATTTTTTAAATACACAAATTTCTATGTTCAAGTTGATGTTACTTCAAAATAGGCAAGTTAATTTCAAAAAATATTTTTACATTTTTGTTGGGTAGCAGTGTAATAGGGGACCTTGGCCTCTCCGGGGTTTATATGGGTTTGGAAATGGGTGTTAGCCCCAGAATTTAATTTGAATTCTATATTGGCTTGACACACCCTCTACAAAACCAAACCTGAAATTATTTGAAATTTACTTACATATCTGCTACATGAGCTGGAATATTATTAATTTATTCAGGTACAATATAAAAAATATACAAAATTAATTATCTTAATTATTTATAATGTTCTTGCATATCTGCAACAAACCTTGGAATATTCTATATCTTAATTATCTTAATTATTCTTAATTATTTGAAATTTACTTACATATATCTGCTACAAGCCCTGGAATATTTAATATCTTAATTATCTTAATTATTTGAAATGTCCTTACATATCTTCTACAGACCCTGAAATATTTAATATCTTAATTATCTTAATTATTTGAAATTTACTTACATATCTGCTACAGACCCTGGAATATTTAATATCTTAATTATCTTAATTATTTGAAATGTACTTACATATCTTCTACAGACTATGAAATATTTAATATAATTATCTGAAATGTACTTCTGCTACAGACCCAGGAATATTTAATATCTTAATTATATAAAATGTACTTACGTAACTGCTAAAGACCATAAAATATTTATTATCTTAATTATTCTAATTATTTGAAATGTACTTACGTATCTGCTACAGACGCTGGAATATTATCTTCAACCCACTTCAGGTCATCTTCAACCTTTGTGGAAACTGAATTATCAGGGCGGTTGACATTTCGCATCTTCATCCCCTCTGAAAATGAAGAAAATATATTTTCCCCATCAAGATTCATACCCAAGGCATTCTGATTACTCTTAAGATACTCTTTCAGCTGTGGAGGTGTTTCTCCATACAAATCTTACCATTTTATGAAAAATATTTTAATTTAAATGAGACAAGGCTAGAAAATAATATAATATAAGATTACGTTCTTTATGTTTAATCAATATAAATTTAGCTTGCTTGCTGTGTTTAACAACTGATCAATTTTAATCAACTACTTTTTCACACTGCTGCATGAATGTTCTGTGGCAAAACAACGTAACTTGAAATTTTCACTTTTGGAGAAAAAATAGAGTTAAAGTTTGCATATTTGCAACTTGGCAATTGTAATAAATTAATCATATTGGTAATTATAGGAACATAAGAGACCTGGGAGGTTCTAGATGTTGAAGTACTAAAAGCAATTGCTTATTGGTTAATATGATGTAATGTGACCAATGAGGAACTTAGGCAATATAGAATGCTCTTGAGCTTGGTCTTTCCAAGGAGCTCCTTTTTGAAACACATGTTCATGTGAATATTGTTTTGTTATTTTGATACTGGATTCTTGTTGGAGTTCACACAGAATAAAAGTTTATTTGAGAGTTGTGTTACAACATTGTGAGCTGTGTTGATATTTTATATGTCAAAGAGAGATTCCTAGTCACTTTCTTACCGCTTGGAAATAGGTCAAGTAGGAATTCATGACAGCAATAAATTGTCATAATCTTTTGAAATTTTGCAGGATTGTATAATTTTAGACATGGTGATTAAATGTAAAATTTTTATTACAACCATTTGTTTATTGCAAAGTTACTAGCAATATTCACAGATACATTGTTTTGCCTCAAAAACATTTCAGACTCGGTATTGTTTTTTAAGTGTGTCATATTTTTTGGAATTTATCACATTTGGAGCAATCACATGCATTTCTAGCTTGTTCATACGTCTCTGTTAAGATTATTGATATGAAAACACCAATAACCAGTTGTTTTGCCTTGCAAAAATCAATCGGCTCTAAACAATTTTTGAATACCGTTCCGATACAAAACAACATATCTACATCGCAGATACGTTGTTTTGCCCCGTAATCTTGCAGTTACATTATTTTACGACGGAAAATCACTAGATTTTAAGTTTTGTGCTTAAAGATAGGTGGTGCTATCTCCGAAACAACTGATTTTCAATGCCTGCTCTTATATATAACGTGGCTTTCAAGGCTTGCTCTTACATATAACATGGTTTCACTGCCTGCTCTTACATGCAGCATGGCTTTCAATACCTGCCCTTACATATAGGGTGGCTTTCAATGCATGCTCTTACATATAGCGTGGCTTTCAATGCCTGCTCTTACAACATACAGGGTGGCTTTCAATGCTTGCTATTACATATAGAGTGGCTTTCAATGCCTGCTCTTGCATGCAGCATGTCTTTCAACAACTGCTCTTACATAATAGGGTGGCTTTCAATGCCTGCTCTTACATATATGCGGCTTTCAATGCCTGCTCTTACAACATATAGGGTGGCTTTCAGTGCCTGCTATTACATATAACGTGGCTTTCAATGCCTGCTCTTACATATAGCATAGCCTTCAATGCCTGCTCTTACATATAGGCTGGATTTTAATGCCTGGTTTTGATTGTCTATATAACAAGTTCTCGTAATCTCAAAAGCTCTGATGAGGGCAGTATAATAAAGGCAGTGAAGTATATTGGCCCTATTAATCAATCAATCCACAGGGTACTCCAAGAGGTCCTCATCAGAGCTAAAAAAGCATTGTCATGATGTCATGTAGGAATGACTTGGACTGTGCCTACCTGCTATTGGATTTTTTTTTTTTTTTTTTTTTTTACTTTTCTTGATTATTATATGGTGACCTTTGTTCTTGGATTGTTTGTTACTAAATTTTTATAGTAAATTTGTTTGTTCAGGTTTCTGTTTTTCTCAATGGTTTCCACCACTGTCAGTGTTCATGTTTCTGTCCACTCAACCTGTGCTGTCCATTGCTTGGCTCACTGTTATGTGTTTCTAGCCTAGCCTATTTGGTAAATTGGTTTTTCATTTCTTTGTTCTCAGCTGATTGAGATAAATATCCTAAATTTGGTAGCATAATGATGTATGGCCTCTTGCTAGAACATTTCATAATACTTGAAAAAGTGTCATAGGCCTACAGGAGTTCTTTGGGGACATAAGGCTGCAAATCTGCCTTTTATTTTCTGGTTGTTACTGCTCCACCTATTCCTAATAATTAATTCCAGAGAATTCTTTTTTGCACATTTTCCATTTTTTTCCTTCAATTAATTGCCAAAGCAGTACCCTGGCTTATACATTTCCCTTACCAGAAAAAGGTTTGGTGCTGCACTTTCCATTTAGGTTCTGAACTTTGCGGTCAAGAGTTTTAAACGCATGCTGACCATGCTTAGATACTTTGACTTCCACTGTTGACAAGTTGTGAAGTTGTTTGCACTATGTTTCAGCCTTTGGTGCAAGTATTTCCTGGCATATTTTCTTGGCTAATACCATATGTTGTCTCCACTCTTCTTCTCAAAACTTGCTTTATGTCACCAAGTAACGTAGCAATTGGCGCCATATAAATTTGAGACATTATTATTTTTATACTAAGTACGCTAGTCACTGGTAGCCAAATATTCAATTAAAGAATGGTTAATAATAATAATAATTCTTCTTGTTATGGTTTTTGTCAGCTTTTAAAGAAACATTTGTTCCCGAACTAGATCTCTCTGGATTGTGCAATTTTACTGCTTTCTTTGTCTGACGCTCATTTCACCTGATCTCAAATTCTTGCCTATTTTTTTTTTATTTATATATTTATTTCCCCCTTATACCCATTGGAAAAATGTGGGGTTCTTACCAAGGTGACTTCCAGTCGTTTTAACCTGCCTTGGATAGATATTTACGAAGGGAAATAAAGAAGAAACAATGACTCTACAACAGAGCAAAAAAGATGGGAAACCATCAGACTGGGATGAATTCCGCTCAGCAAGAAAAATCGTCCTTATGAATCTCAAACAGGCCCATGCAAATTATACCTTTGACACTCTTGGATCAGCTTTAAAAAACAACAATGCTAAAGTTGTGAGTCATGGCAAAGACAAAGCTGATATTCTTATTGCTCGGTTCCTTAGTGTTTTTAACAGATGAACCAGAGGGGATACTTCTTCACTGGTAATTAGCCCTTACCTCACTATCAAGCATTCGCGCATCACGTCCGAAGGAGAGATAAACTTCTTTGAAACCTGAATTCGACAAAAATTCATGAACCCAACGGTATCCCCCAGTGGTTGTTGAAAATTGGAGCTTCCGAACTTGCTAAACTTTTACAAGGCCTCTTTTAAACATCCATCAATATTGGAGAAATTCCACAAGACTTGAAGAATGCAATCATTGCTTCAGTCTTCAAAAAAGGAAGCAGGACCGTAGCTGCTAATTACAGGCCAATATCTCTTACCTCGGTGGTGTGTTAATCATTGGAGCACATCACCTAGAGCCATGTAATGAAGTTCCTGGAACATGAAAAACTTAATCAGACTACCAGTACGGTTTTCGTGCCAAGAAATCAACTGAAACTCAGCTCACCCAGTGTTCTCCCAAAGCTGTTTTACAGTAGCTGTTTTTACCCCGTTAAAAAAAACTAATCAACCAGTAAAAATTGTGTTGGTAGAATAAAAAAAAAGCACTTATCAGCACTAGGTAGTCTAAGCTGGCCTCCTTTCTATAAACGAACATCATTCCAGTCCAAGTCTAGGATATGATAATATGTATTGTTGTTTTTTTAAGCCATTGAACTTCAGTGCAGTCCGAGCTCTTCTAGAGTATGCTTCAAGTGTATAGGATTCTTCCATTATAAAAAATATTAAGTCATTAGAGCATGTGCAGCGCCAAGTAACTTGTTTTTGTAAAAAGAATACTCCAAAGAAGAAGGTACAGTTACCTGCATCCTTGACGAATTGAAATGGAACTCATTAGAAACCAGAAGACATAAAAAACTTGGGATGCTTTACAAGATGCAAAATGGGCTTGTCGATATCCATTTCACCAGTATGTCCATCCACACACTAATTTATCCAGGGGACAGAATCAGAAATTCAGGCAAAGGCAAAAATCAAGAGTGTTCAAAGACCCATTCTTTGCCTCCACCATAAAAGACTGGAATGCACTTCCAGAAAGCATAGTAAGCAGTGTCAGCAGTGAAAGCTTTGTCTAGTCTTGGAAAACACAAGCTTAAGAGCTTTAATTAAGGACTTAGCTCATCCACGTTAGGGTGATGTATCAAAAAATATTTTGCTGACTAAATTATTTTTTTATTACTTTTTTATGAGCCCCATGTTTACTGCCACAGAAAATCATGCTTTGAAAAAAAATTATTCTACAAACAGTTTTTCTTGGACAGAAAACACACTAACTATTCAATGTGTGTGCATTCACTTTGCAACATGTGAATGCACACACTAACTATTTAATGTGTGTGCATTCACTTTGCAACAAGTGAACGCACACACTAAGTACTTAATGTGTGTGCATTCACTTTGCAACAAGTGAATGCACACACTAAGTACTTAATGTGTGTGCATTCACTTTGCAACATGTGAATGCACACACTAACTATTCAATGTGTGTGCATTCACTTTGCAACATGTGAATGCACACACTAACTACTTAATGTGTGTGCATTCACTTTGCAACATGTGAATGCACACACTAACTATTTAATGCACACACTAACTATTTAATGAGTGTGCATTCACTTTGCAACATGTGAATGCACACACTAACTACTTAATGTGTGTGCATTCACTTTGCAACATGTGAATGCACACACTAACTATTCAATGTGTGTGCATTCACTTTGCAACAAGTGAATGCACAAACTAACTACTTAATGTGTGTGCATTCACTTTGCAACATGTGAATGTACACACTAACTATTCAATGTGTGTGTATTCAATGTGTGTGCATTCACTTTGCAACAAGTGAATGCACACATTAACTATTTAATGTGTGTGCATTCACATGGCAACATGTGAATGCACACACATTCACGTTCATCTGGTCGGTGAACTTGTAAACACAAGTTGTGAACTCGAGTAGAATTTTCTTCCTCTATTTGCACAAGTAGTGTGGAAAATGGCAGATGAAACACAAACAAGCAGATGTATTTATTGCAATTTGTTTAAGCAATATTATTTCAGATTTAATTAAAAAAAAGAGTTTCTTGTATGTTTTATTTGCAACCTCATGATTTGCACTGTAAAACGTTCTGAATACACTTTACAGAGTCTTAATTCAAGCTTTTTTAACATAGAGTAAGCTAGGCCAAGGCCAAGGAGCACATCAACGTGAGGGCACTTGTCAAAATCCCGAATAGGAAAACAAAATGCCATTTTAGTGTTCGTCAAATGAATGCACTCTTCTCGTTTTCTTGGATGTTACAAGTTGTGAGATCAGTTTTCACAAGTTCTAGTGAACACAGCATAAATATTCAATGCATGTGCATTCACTTTGCAACAAGTGAATGCACACTGAAGTTTGTACCTATTTTTGTCAGTTTATTTTTCACAACTGATGCTTCAATTTCTATAGTTTATTACGGATTCTAGGAACTTCAATCAAGATCAATCAACAGGATTTATAAAGCACCAATATCCACAGCTGAATACACTGAAGCTGGCATTCTACCAATTGTAAGCATTTAAAAAAAAAATTTAATAACTTCCTTGGGGTCAAATTGACTGGGGCAGAGTTGACTTCTTTGGACCGAGTTGACATGGTGCATGTTTAGTTTAAATTTAAAATTTTGAATTTAAAAAAAAGTTTACATAAAACTAACCAAACGATTCTGGAATCATTGGCTCCTTCGACTCCTCATCCTCTACAGCATCAGTGAGGGCCGAGTATGCATAGCGTTGGTTGTTAGCAGTAGGACGCCAGAGAATAATGATCACCACAAGGACAATGTAGAAGAGAATATGCCAGTAAGCATCGTCTAACCAAATCTCGTTCCATTTCTACAGAAATTTCAGAAAATTCAGATCAAATAGGTTTTACTTCATTTAATATTCACATGTAAACTGATATTTGCTTTCATCGATGATTATAAAGTGAAAAGATATATATTTAGACTAAAACATTAATTGAAGTTGGAGTGGCAAAAGATCATCACTGGAAATAAATTAAGCATCAGACATATTCTATTTTAAACTGCTCTGACTCATACCTACACATATATAAGCAAATCACATTGTAAACTTCTCTTTTCATACCTACACATTATAAGCAAATCACATTGTAAACTGTTCTGACTCATCATGTACAAGCAAATACCATTGTAAACTGCTGACTCATACCCACACATATATAGCAAATCACATTGTAAACTGCTCTGACTTATACCTACACATACTTAAGCAAATCACATTGTAACTGCTCTGACTCATACCTACACATACTGTATATAAGCAAATCACATTGTAAACTGTTCTGACTCATACCCACACAAATATAGCAAATCACATTGTAAACTGCTCTGACGTACCTACACATACTGTATATAAGCAAATCACATTGTAAACTGTATATAAGCAAATCACATTGTAAACTGCTCTGACTTATACCTACACATACTGTATATAAGCAAATCACATTGTAAACTGCTCTGACTCATACCTACACATACTGTATATAAGCAAATCACATTGTAAACTGCTCTGACTCATGCCTACACATACTGTATATAAGCAAATCACATTGTAAACTGCTCTGACTTATATCTACACATACTGTACATAAGCAAATCACATTGTAAACTGCTCTGACTCATACCTACACATTTATAAGTAAATCACATTGTAAACTGCTCTGACTCATACCTACACATACTGTATATAAGCAAATCACATTGTAAACTGCTCTGACTCATACCTACACATATATAAGCAAATCACATTGTAAACTGCTCTGACTCATACCTACACATATATAAGCAAATCACACTGTAAACTGCTCTGACTCATACCTACACATATATAAGCACATCACATTGTAAACTGCTCTGACTCATACCTACACATATATAAGCAAATCACAATGTAAACTGCTCTGACTCATACCTACACATAAGCAAATCACATTGTAAACTGCTCTGACTCATACCTACACATATTTAAGCAAATCACATTGTAAACTGTTCTGTCACATAAAATACCATGGACAGAGCCAAAAGGTCTGTCAGATATGCTATATGTTCTGTCAGATATGCTTTCACACTTTTGATGAATTTAGAGCACTATAGCCAAAAAAAAGAAAATCTTTGTGTTTCCCAAGCCTAACCAACCCAAAATCTTGAAAATCTATCTTTTTTTTTTTTTGTATGTAACACATTGTTTCATACAGATATGTCAGAAACAAGCAACATTATCAGACAAAGTTTGACCAACATTTGTTTGTGTGCCCTGACTTGTAAAAGCATTAGGTATAGAAATTGAGTTAAAAATTGTCTTGTACTTACACTTACACACAGAGCTAATTTGTGTTGTTTTGTAGACCATGCTATGAAAATCACGGCGGCAATGATGCAGAAGATGAGTGCATTTGTAAAATGGCGGTACAACCAAAGCTTGACAACGTTGCGACGTAGTCTCAAAGTTCTTGTTGTGTCAACCAAATTGGTAAATATGTGGACTCACTGTTAAGGTTGACAATTCCTTTATATGGATCATCAAATGTATTTATAACTTGGATGTAACATAAAAAAGATAATGGTAATAGACTACCGGACTGGTACACTATTTGTGACAATATTGAAATATGCTATGATTGACACAGAACCAAAACTAAGCTTGTGGAGCAACTTTCTAAATTAAAAAGAAACAGTAGGCATTAACTTCACATGCCACTGGCTTTTATAGAGCTGATACAGCTGTGAAGAAAAGCTGGGAGTGGGGGTGACAGATTGGAGTAGAAACTGGTAGCGAAATTTTTACAGACCTCTAAATGTGGCAAAGACAAGCCAAACCAGTCACTCGTTGGAAAAATCAATTTTTAGTTATCAATACAGGGTTTAACAGTACAATGAGAGCTATAAAATTGTAAAAAATCATTTAAATCCGACACTTTGTTATGAAGTTACACAAGTTTAAACATACAACTGTTTAAAGAACAATATTTGAGAAATCAGCCTTCAAAGTTTACGATTTTAGGCATTTCTTAGGCAGAAACCATCACCAAATCGTTAAAAATTGTTGTTTTAACATTAAAAATGAGGAAAATAACACCATAGCATGATGTATAGATATATAAAGGTTAGTTTTGGTGCAATAAAATAGATTTCCAAAATTTTGACATTCCAGCATGTTTTGGCCATTATCTCCAAAACAGGATTTGCAACGAGTAACTAGTTTGGCCTGTCTTTGCCACAAATACAAACCGTTCTTTTAAGTTCAATGATCACTAATTCTAATTCACAGTTTTAAAAGCAAACTTGGATAGTAAGATACACTTCTACTTGGGATAAAGGTGATAGCAGTATACCTCCATATCAGAGTTATTAGGTAGTTTTCGCTGCACGACTGTAGTAGTAGAAACTTCCTACAGCTGCAATCATTCCTTCATTTGAGGCCATTTTCTCTTGTCACTCGCGAGCATCCTTAGCTCCCCTAGTAAGTGTGCTTATAATGTATTGTAATTTCCAAATCCATTCAATTCAACAAGTTTCCAAGTACTGGAGTTAAACAGGCTTATAGCTAATCTTTTCAATTAAAACATTCTCAAAAGGATATCCAGTAACAAATGACTGCATCCAAAACTGCAAGAGGAATGCTAGCCACTAGCTGCTGTTGTACACTCTGAAAAGGTTAAATCATAAATGCATTCTTAAACACTGACTTAAGTTTAACTGCTTCTTATCAAAATTCTGATCAACATGTTAAGAAGTACAAAATACAAAAATATTAACACTGGTTTAACATATAGATTAAGAAATTCATCGATAATTTTTGTGCAAAAAAAAAAAAAGAATGTATTTGTTGTCTTTCTAAGTTGTATAATGGCATTTTCAGTTCAAATCGATTACATTAAACTTGATTCTTTAAACATCTGTAGTGTACTAAAAACAATTTTTAATGTATTGGAAATAAATGCTGCGGATAGCAGCGCATTCATTCAGCACCTACCCCTTGCACACGTAGACAAGCTTCAATTGCGCTGAGCAGGAAAAACAGGAATCCTACGCCAATTACACGATGCAACTGAGGTCCAAGACGAGGTCTACATGCAATGGAATTATAATTATAACATAATAATTATTGTTGTTTAAGTCAATTGTGACATCATCACTTTCTCATGTATGTAATTTTGCTATCCTATCCTAACTATGAGCAGGAACTAATTTGATATATGAATTTGCAGAAGATGGGTTTCTGGGAGGTTTTTTTCTTTTTTGAGGCAGTGAAAGGGGCTGTCTCAATTTCTGATAAACTCCAGCAAGTTGCAGGAGACTTGGAATAATTATTCATTGTCAATTTATTTTGCACACTATTGAAAAATAGAAGCCTTTGTTCATTATTTTCAGAAAATAATGGATGCTTTGGCTTCTACTGAACTTTCTATAGTGTTCTCAGAACTTGACTATAATTGCATAATACAGACAGGTATGTGGCTCCTTCATATTGTATTATTAAAAGACAGCCATCAAAAACCAGTGGTGCATCTAGAAGTCTTGAAATGGGGGACTGATGGGGGAGCAAAGGTAAAGTGAGGGGCTCGATGATCAGTTGAGGTGTGCTAATTCGCAAAATAAGGTGATTTTTAACTACTTGACCAAGATTTTTGGGTGGCGCCTGGGGGGGGGGGGTGGTGAGTAATTCTTTTGTGGGGGGAGGGAATCTTCGATCTATTAACTAAGCTACTGTAACATCTATGTCGAGACCCAACCCCAAGACCACCCCAAATTTTCAGGATGAAAATTCCCCGATGAGGGGTCCAACCTCCCCGATAAGGGGAGCCACACCCCCACCTCCCTCCTCCCTTGAGAAATTTAATTTGTCTGGATTTTTTTAAACAAAAAAAAAATAATGAGAATAAAATTTTGTTTTATGGGATTCTTTATTTAAAAAAATAAACCATGCAAGTTAAGAGTAGTCCTGTCGGGGGTACTAACCCTCTGTCGGGGGAAGAGCAGGTGCTGCCACTGCAACCCATACAATCGTAATAGTATACAACTTGCACTTACGGTAGCACTGCTCACAAACAATTTTTAATTTCTAAAAAGTATAAGGTATGCTTAGATTAAGGTATGTTTGAAATCATACTTTCAGTGCTCAAGATTTTATTTTTAACTGACGAGGAAATTCCCTGACAGGTGAGTTCAAGTGGGGGATCCAGAGGTCCCAAAAAGGGTCCTTTGCCCCCTCCCCTCCGGAACCCCCCCCCCCACTAGCGCAGCCCCTTTTTCAGGTCCCAAAGGGGGTCTCGAATTGCAGGACAAATTGTAGCACAAAGATTATGAATGACTAACTTAGTGATTCCAAATCCCATGCTGACAATTATCACCAACATCCTGGCAACAGTTCGTTTAAGGCAGGACACCAACTCAGCAAACACAAGAGTCGCAGGAGATGCATAGCCAGTTGAGTTTACGTGGTGATATTCCGAGTAAAATACTACTTTCTCCAAAAGACCTGTATGAAATTAGGTATATAAATTAAAATTCTATACACTGTCAAGTTTACACTCTCAAATAGTGAGATGAGTCACCGAATCACAATCACAATAACAAAGCAATTTAAAATTGCTTTGTGAATTATGTCATGCAACTGGTTTAGAAACCAGTTTAGTAAAGCTCCCATATAGAACAAAATGGACACCATTCCTTATGAGAGTCACTGTTATCAAGATAACTAGGCTTATCAGTACTGTACGCCAGTACAGCGGCAAGCAGATTACGGTACCAAATATTGTCTCATCTGTCTGTAGCAAAATGGAACATCCCAATAAATAATCCTGACGCATCACCGAAGACAGGTAATTACAGTATTAATCAACACGCATGGTTCACAGGTATATGCATTGACTTATTTTGAGAGTTACTCATTCAATCCTTGAATTTAATTTTGAATACAGTATCAGCTCTAAAATGTACTGTTTGTTAAAGTATCTGTAATCTCTGGAATCGGGAGTGGAATGGCCGATGTTGAAAGACATTTAAAGGTATGTTGACGTTTTTTGACAAATGGTGTATACAGAGATAGCAATTCAAATATTATATTTTAACCATTATCAGCTCAACACTGACAAGTTACCTTAAAGTAATTAAGAAAACACAATAAACAATGCTATAAATAATTTAACTGAGAAGGAAAAAATATAGATGCATAGGTTATATAAACGTCTTCAGACAACATACAATATTCCACACATGGCATAACTGCATGAAAATAACAGTGAACAGTAAAAAGTTACCTTCACCATGGTATCACCTCAACAAAATTAAAACCACACAGTAGGTCCAATAATATATTGGAAGGATCATTCCTTGTTGTGCCGTACAAAACCTATTTTTTCCTACCAGCCACGATTTGTTTACCTCTTAGGAGTGATGCCACAAGGCTGTAATTAATATACACCATTACTTGTGACGTCACTCCACGAAGAAAACAAACTGTGGATGCAGGAATAAAGTGGAGTTATGACGCTTGCCATCTAATCTCAGGGTCCTGGGTTCAAATTCAGTGACAGCACAGGATTTTTTTCTCACAACTAAAAACAACTCCACTCTCTAAGCCTTATAAACAGACCTTGCTGATAAAAGCATCACAACTAAAAACAAGTCCACTCTCTAAAGCCTCATAAAAGCATCACAACCACATATGGTTTAAAAAAACATAAAAGTGGAATATTTTGTAAAACCTCAGGTTTTGTATGATGGAACATGATCTTTCCAATATGAATATGACCTAAGGTTTGAATTTGGTGTTAGCTTATACCATAATGGTGATTTGGGATTTTTAACAGGACTAAAGGTTTATGGATACACATAATACCCTCTGAAGCTAGTATTAACATTACCTAATAGAACGACTCCACAAATCCAGAACTGAATTCGAAGTATATCCCTCCATTGACAAGCCATCATGAGAAGCCAAAGGAAAGCCAAGATTGTATAAGCTGCACACATCACTGCATAAAACTAAAAAAAAAAATAACATTATTTGCTCAGAGAGCAATGTAAAATTAATGTTGAACAGGGCTTATAATAAATGTTATGGGAGAGGCAACAACAAATATTAAGCTAGAGCCTATAATAAATGCTATAGCTGGGTCTACAACAAAAACTGTATTACAATAAACACATATTTATTTAAGATTAAGATTGAAATTCAGACTTAACCTTTCTTTACTCAGGGTAGAACTATTCAGTGACTACTTAAGCACTGTTTTCCAAGAATCCCCGATAATTATACAAACAGCAAATATAATATTCAAAAGTTACTAAAAACAATGAACATGAATTTTATACCAAGAGCCTAAAATGGATGTCACAAATATGCAATTCAAAAGTAACTAAATAGTAACTAAGAACAATGAACATGAATGTTACACAAAAAAAAAATAAATCATCTATTCCTACCATTAACTTGCTTAATAAACATCATTAATTACTGGATTTTGCTTATTAAGCAGGTAACATTAACTTTTATTTTTCAATCCCATCTAGTGGTGGTTTTACTAGTTGTTTGGTCGTAATTATAAATGAGTGGTTGTTATGTGCACTATTTGTCGTGTACCTAAGTTTATTAATTTTTTGATTTTGTATGTTAGAAATAATTTAATAATTAGAAATAATTCAAATTTTTATGTATTTATATTATCTGTAATTGAGTCAAGAAATTTTTAATGTGATATTTCTTTATATGTACTTATAATGATTTATCCTTTCTTGTTGCAATTAAGTATAATATTTTTAATATTCTTATATTTTTTTTAATAAATTCATTTCAGCCTTTGGCTGCCGTGTGTATATTTGTTTATACCTGAATAAATAAATAAATAAATAATAAATAATAAAGAACTTAAAATGGATATTGCAAGATGCATCAATGTCTTAGAAGACCCATTTCAACAAAATATCAATAATAATATTCTTCATTCATGGAAACAGACTTATATTTTAGACTATGAAAAATAATACATTAATATATCCAAAAATTAAATAAATACATTTTAAGACTTACATCAAGAAGTGGCCTTTGGTTGGCTGAGAGATAACCATGAGAATTTTGAAACTTAACTGTGACTAAAAGAGAAATAACATACAAAATGTGATATGCTGCAGTTGCCAATTTTAAAAAAAGGTAAACGTGATGATTTTACAAATTATCGACCCATATCTATCTTACCAATATTTTCTGACATACTTGAAAAAATTATGTATTCCAAATTATACTCATTTTTAGATAAATACACTATCCTCAACGATCACCAATTTGGGCTTCATGAAAACCATTGACATCTGATGCCATTATGGATTTTATCGCAGCATTTGAAAAGAAGAAATTCTTAGTGTGTTTATAGATCTTTCTAAGGCCTTTGATGTTATTGATCATGATATTTTGCTTAAAAAGCTACATTACTATGGAATCAGAGGTATTGCTTTACATTCTCTAGTTACTTAAGTTCTAGGAAACAATACGTCACTGTTAACTCAAATGAATCAAATCTCACAGGCATAACGTGTGGCATACCACAAGGGTCAGTATTAGGCCCTTTGCTGTTTATAATTTATGTTAACGACATTCATTTGGTTAGTAATGTACTTAAAACAGTGTCTTTCACTGATGATACGACTGTTTTCCTAATCTTGATCAACCGTTAACTAATATAAACCATGAACTTGTAAAGGTATTTGATTGGCTCAGCATTAACCGACTACTGTTAAACATTGCCAAAACTATGTAATTTTCTGTCCAAGTCAGAAGAAATGCACTGAAATTGACAACTGTCTTAAAATCAATGTCAAAGCAATAGCTCAACGGAAAGAAGTTCAATTCTTTTAAAAAATTCTTAATATTTTTAAATGAACATATTAACTGGAAAATTCACGACTTTGTTGCAAGAAAAATCTCTAAATCGATAGGAGTAATTGGCAGAGTCAAACAGTTTTTCCCTACGAATATTTTACTCGCTCTTTACAATACCTTAATTTTGCCTTACCTCCAGTATGGTAATATTATATGGGTAAGTGACTATCCCTCAAACCTTGTTAAACTATATAACCTCCAAAAACGTATTATTCGTATAATTACATCACCACCATATACAGTAGGTGCAATGCTGAACCACTATTTCATGAACATAATCTTTTGAATACGGTATTTATGACGTTAATAAGGTACAAGTAGGATGCTTTATGTATAAACATACCCATGAAATGTTACCAAATGTGTTTAAGGATCTATTTCAGTACAAAGGTAATGTTCATAACTATCGGAAAAGGCAATGTAATAGGCTTCGTATTCCATTTGTTAAGCTGACTAAAAGCCAATTCTCAATTTGTGTCCATGGCCCGCATATATGGAACAATATTGATAGTAAACTAAAAACATCAAATACTCTAAGACTTTTAGTAAACTCCTAAAAAAGGAAATTATTTCAAATTATCAATAGGTACTTTTATGATCTTTTTTTGTTTGTTTGTTTGTGTTTTTTAAATTTTTGTTTTCGTATTTTTTAAAGGGACAGTGGAGACAAGCCTAGGCTTCTAAACTGGTCCCTCACCATTGTATGTTGTTTTTTGTTGTCTTTGGGGAAATAAATGTCACATTGATTGATTGATTGATTGATTGACAGCTATAAAGAGTAAAACGTGCTAGTATGTTAAATCAGAACATGTAAGGAATGATACAATGGAAGGCGTTCAAAAAATGAAGTGATTGTTTTGTGGTGGGCGGAGATATGCTCTCTACTAAGTGCTTTTGTTACTATTACTTTTAATTATTATTACTAGAGGGTGCACTCACTTCGCTCGCTTACCCTCTAGTATGTTAAACATCATGATTAGTTTTGATAAAATAGAACAAAATTCAAGACCACTAAAAGAAGATTGGCCTTACAGATATACACAAATTCTACGAAAATATAACACTGGGCCTAGACCCCTAAAGACAACTCATGAATAAATGCAGTGGTGAACGTTATGCATTTACTGTGTCGATTAATTTATAGGGCCTTACTAATTACTGTACATTTCTATTAGAAGTTATATATTTGTGACATGTTGAAGATATAGGAAATAGGAAGTTTCTACATATATTATTAGTAGACACTTTTTGTTATGTACTGCAACTATTATATATTTATATACCCTGGGCCCTAGAGGTCATAAGGTCTGAGCCTCACTGTTACAAAGTGATGAATTAGAAGAGGGACAGCTAACCACATCGAAAACTTCAACTGTTGATTCAATTAGACCATGTAAAAAAGAGTCGGGTCGGTAGGCATCATGTTGGCGACAATTTTTTTTTAATTCTTTTGCTACCACTCGACTCACCTTACCATATTGATTTTTTTATACGTCGAAATGAATAAAATAAATAAAAAATGATGATGTTGTTGTTGATGAAGGTGATGATGATGACAGTATGAAATGACAATATGATGATTATGATGAGAACCATAATGAAAATTCATAATGCATTGTAGCACATCAACAAGCAACAACTTACCTTCAATTTCAGTATCTCCGCAATCACTTGATATAGAAAACGCTAAAATGTAACGACCATCTACCCATGTCTTTGCGATTCTATTGTGATTCTATTTTATTGAAACCAATAAAAAAAATGCATCTTAGTAAAATTGTTTTTTAGTTAAACACAGTAATATTTTGTGATATCAATTGCAATGAAAGGAACTTTGGTATAGACACCTCCACTGGTGTTAATTAAAGATGATAATAAATATAGTAGTTATACTATGTATCAAACTTTAAAACTAAAAGCTTTGTTTAAATAACATACCTTAATTGTAGCTTTTGTAGTTTCTCCACCCTAGGAAAATACAAAATGAAATACTTAATTGTTATCACAATGTCAAATTAAGGCATCCTTGATTAAAACCTTCCTGTTTCTATATTCCTCATAGTAGATGTTTCTATAGTTCCTGCTTTTAAAGAATAAAATATACATAAAATAATCATATCTTATAGGTATGTAAAGGTTCCTTTTATCCTGAAGAAATAAAAAATTAAAAACTTAATTTTATCAGGCAAAGCAAACTCAGGCATCCTTGATTAAAACTTTCTACCATCTATATGCCTCACATAGGGGAAAAACCTCATGTTGCCCACACACAGTGACATTTTAAAATCTGGGTCAGTTGGACATCTTCTTTTCACTGCTGGAAAGCTTATGCATATTATCAAAGTCTATTTTTTGGTTTAGTGGCTGTTGCAAAAAGCTTTGAAATCTCGATTTTAACTGGAACTTTGGCTCACATCAACACTTGCAATCTGTGACCCATCCATAGCATTACTCAGGAAAGACTTAATTTTTCTAGCCACTCAAAATTTTAATTTCAGGATTTAAGAGGCTGAAGAATAGAAAGATGACTTTCCCATAGGGCAAATGAGGGTTACTTCATCTCAGAATTTTGCTTTACATTAGAAACTCTCTGAACCTAATTAGCTTTTGAATAATATTTGAAGAGTGTTTAAATATCTGAGATGTATTGACATAGCCCCTGTGACTAGGGGAAGGGGAAACTACCTGTAGGGTATGAGATTGTTGGGGACCAAATCCCTTTATATACAGCACTACAAATTATTTTCCTTAAAAAGCCTATCATAGGCTAATACCACAGAATCGCCACTTTGTATGAATAAATCGCGCATTACACACACTTTGTGCAGCAACTAACACATTACAAAAAAAAAATAAAAGGCATCGCACGTAAAATGAAGCTACTTTACTATCAGATAATTTTTGTCTCCTATATATATTCCAAGTTCTCCAGAGTCTGTAATCATCATAATCACCCTTATTTGGAACAGTATGTACAATTTCACTGAACATCTGGTATCAAGTCAAAATCTTTCTTCAATTTAGGTACCAAAGACTGGAATGCTCTTCCCAATGATTTAAAAATTATTGAAAGCGAGATGCTGTTTAAATCGAAGCTAAAAAAGCTTCTTATTGCTGATATCCTTCTATAACTATCCTGATTTTTCTTAATATGCTCATATTTACCCTTTCATTTAAGTTTATATTTTTTATAATTTTTATCTTATTTTTGTATGTCATTGTTTTGTAAATTGTTGTATTTGAATGGATGCTAAACAATTAAAGAAAGAGTTACTTTCAGAGATGTCGTTATGCAGGGCGTAAGTGGGCTGAACTACCCGCAGTCTTAACGTCTTGCACCCATCCAAAATTCATTTTTAAGGTCTTCCGCCCAGGCTCATTCAAACCCTCCCGCTCACCCTTAAAATCATACAAAACTCAAGTTTTTGCCCAATAATCAAGATACAGGATTCTCACACCATTCGGAATGTACAGTAATTGTTCACCAAGGTGCTTGTTTCACTGAACGTTGAAAGCACATGATTCATCAATTGGAATGAGATCCAGATGGTTTATTTGAAAACACGAGTTGTCTGTCTACAAAGTGGTACAGGCAATATCAGGTAGCTGTAAATGCCCCTGCACTAGGCTTTCTTCTTTTAATCATATCTTTTTTGGTTCCTGGTGGTCTCTGTCTATTGAAGTAGTACTTAATTACCTTAATTAGTACTAATTGTAAATTTAACTCTTTATATAATAAACACTTCCCAAAACATCGATGTAGACGAAATTTTCGCAAAGACCATAAACCATTAATTTCTAATGCATTAATTAAGTCAATCGATACTAGAAATAAATTTTAAAAGAAATGTATTAAGAACAGCAACAATACATGTTTTGTGCCCAGAAACGTTTAACTGAAGTTACAGTTGTATTGTATGCAGCATCATGGGCTTGACAAATTATTTTTTCACTCAACTGTTTAGAAAGGTAACATTTAGTATTATAAATTGATGTGTGGGTTTGTTGGATCCTAAAATGCAGGCTGTATACAATATTGTTGTATAGTATTTGTAAAAAATAATGTTGTTCTGAAAGGCTTGTTGTGTATGTAAAAATATGTTGTTTTTAAACCAGTTATTTCAAAGATGTTTTATTAATTAAAACCAGAACTCTGCAAGGGCCGAGGTTCCTATGCAGCAATTGGTAAAATATTACATTATTTTTGTAATGATGTTGGCCTTATGGAAACTGACAAAACTAGGGATCATAATGTCACAGCGCAGTAAATTAATGTATTGTGAATGCAGTTTATAGCTTATAGTCTGCACCCCAAGATGTGGTGGCGCCAGCGGGATTCATCTACCCACTCAGTGTACGACGCCACAAGTTTGTCGGCTCAAAGAAAAAACAAACAATTTGACAATGGTGGTATCATCACCCTTAGCAGGGTCCCAGCCACAATGGTGTTTGTTACCACCCCCACAGGCTTTCGTACCCTGTGCAGTGGTGGCCCCAGCGGGGATCCCCTGTTGTCCAACGCCCACAAGTCTTCAGACTAAAAAGAAAAAAACAATTTGGCCACAATGGCATCTGTTATGCAGTAAGCCCCACCCACCCTCCACAGGGTTTAACACCCCAGTAGTGGTGGTGCCAGCTCCCCCACCCCCACCGTGATTTCGAATGTGTGATTTTAATACACATAAAAGCAACTTGTGATTAGTTTGTATCCACAAAAGATAGCAAACATTTTCTGTAATATCCGATCTACTACACATACCCAACCAGGTTATCTACTATGCGGTTCGTCTTCTAGGCCTACAAAGGAGAAGTGCATGTGGGCCTCGCTATCATCGAGGCCCACATGCCTTCATCGTTGTCAATATTAACTTTTTGATTTGACCTCAACAGGTTTTTTTTTTTAAATTCTCTAAATCTTTTCATGGCTAGGCAAAAAGTCATTCATATATTTGCACGGACTGTATGTTGCAGGCACCACGAAATGTTTAAACGGCTGTATATCACCGCTACTAAAAACTAGACTCATCAAAGACGTAATATTAGCCGTAAAGCTTACCATTCCAAGCTGTGATTGATTGATATACACAATATGGAATATAGAGGCAATTTGCAATCTGATCAATGATGAACAGGCTTTCATAAGTCACGTGACCGCCTGTAAACAGTCATCGCTAAATCCCTTTATTTGCGGGGGTTAGTAGCCTGAAGCTCCTTAACTTTATAGCAATAGTACCTCTCTTTAGCTTTCTTTATTTCCCAGTTTACTTTATTTCTAAGAATTCTGAACGCTTCCATTTCTTTAAAAGTTGTTTGTCTATCTTTAAATAGTTTCTTTATGTACAGCGTAATCCAAGGGCTATATATGGGTACATAATTGTTTTGCTGGGAAATGCTTTTTGTGTGCAGTAGCAATAATATTATTAAATGATTCTACTTTTTTATTTGTACCATGTTTCTGCAAGTATACAGACTTGAATATTGTTAAGTTCCATGGTCACTTGCAGGTCTTCCATTTTGTTACGGATAGAGCACGGATTTATATTAGATTGACTAACCTTTATTTTCTACCCCCCACCCCCTGACATTTTGTGAGGGTCACTCCCTGAGAAAAATAAAAAATCTGATCTATTTTTAAGGTGTCTCTTTCTATGCTCAAATATTGACAACATTTTGAATGTTTTGGTACTCACGTAAAGGTTATTAAATATACTTTTATCTTATTGGACAGTTGGACCGATAATTCTCCATTATAACAAATTAGAATGTTTTAAAATATTATTAAACAATAATACTCCTTTGTCAGAAGAAAGTACCATAATTAATTTTTTTTTACTAAAACAATCTCTTTATTTGTAATTTAGTCTTCCATATTAAAGTTCTTACTGGTACTGGTATTGGGTATATATATTGCTTTCTCTTGCGGTTATGAAGCGCAAGTCAAGCCTCAATAATTCAGGAAAACAATGGTAGGCATAATATCAGTCATTATTCAGGAACCTGAAGCATCACGGTATAGTACAGTCACACAAACAACAAAGACAAATAAACAGATTACAACAATAAAAACACAAAAGGAAAAAGCAGCAAAAAGTGAATTAGGCAAACGAGTAAGTCTTGAGTGCACGTTTAAAAAGATTAGGATCGGAGATATCTCTAAGGTCAGTTGGAAGATTATTCCAAAGTTTAGAAGCATAACAAGGAAATGAAAAGCCTCCAATTCTCTTGTTGTGACGTGGTATAATGAAATGTACAGATGAAGAGAAACGTGTTGTACATATAGGGATACTTGATAACCATATAAAACCGAGAAAACCATATAAATAGTTAGGAGAAAAACCATACATACATTTGTGAACAGTGAGAATAATTTTGAAAATAATTCGATTATTAGCTAGCAGCCAATGAAGTTCATTGATGAGAGGAGCAGAGTGTGTACGAGGATCGCATGAAAAGGCTTAAAGCGAGCAGCAGAGTTTTGCAATTTCTGCAGTCTATCAATGTCTTTCTTGAAGAGACCACCATAGAGTGAGTTACAATAGTCAATTCGCGATAGTATGAGGGCTCTAACTGCTGCATAACAAGTATCTTGATTAACAAATTTTCGAATCCTTCACAAGTTACGCAAATGGTAACGTACACTACTACATACCTTACTCAACTGAGAACTTAAATCCAGCGTGGAGTCAAATGTAATCCTAAGTTACGAGCATTTTTAGAGGCCTTTATGAGATCCATTAACATTAAGTTGGATATTCCTAAACTAATGGTGATGACTGTTGGTTTCTAGAAGTGCAGACCAGAAGCTCTTATTCACTGTTGCCGCTATATACACATTTTTTAAGTTTCTTTTTCTAATTTGCAAGAATGGATTTGTTAACCATTTATCAACACTATATAATGTTTTTACAACAAATATTTTCATCAGCTCTTAAGTGCATAGATAGTACAAAAATATTTATGTGATATACAAAAACAGTACAATATTATTTTGTTATTAACACTTGTCCTGAAGTTGATATTTTTAGTTATTCTAATAACGAATTTAGAAAATTTGATTACCTTGTTGAGTAATTTTTCTATTGTAAACTTTTTATTCTGCATATTTATATATTTTTCATATTTTTCCTGGCAAATACAGTGCAATAAAATGTGGATAAGGCCATCCTGAATAAGTTTTAAGAAAATATCTAATAGGAAGGGAGGATTATTTTTTTTTAACAAGTACAGTATGTATAGGCATATACTTGTTTTCGTAATTGCCTATTTTACAAACAAGTCAATCACCTAACACTATCAGTTTTTTGTATATTTCTGTCTTCAAAATTTCCCCCAAAAAAATCCCCAAAATGCTTCACTTTTTTATTTATTACAGAAGACAATTTTATAATATACTGTAATAACATATTCTAGCAATGAGCTAGTTTTAAGAAAAATAACCATGTGGTTATTTTTTCAATTACATACCTTCATGGTAATTAAGTTGACATCATTCATTAAATTGTGTAAACTCGTGCATTAATGACTGAAAACCTCCTCTTTATATGTTCCTCCTAATTATAATATAGATAAAGATTCAACTTTTTGTACATACCTTGGTGATAGGCTTAGATGTGGTGATAGGCTTAGATGTGGTGCCAGGCCTAATTGAGGAGCCCTGTTCATTCTTGAGATATAAATGTTTTCACAATTATCATCAAATCAAGCAAACCTATCTATCAAGTCTGAAAATTACTTTTCTATGCCTTTGAATTATAATTAGATGAGGTAGCTTAAGAAACTCTAAGTTGGGATGTCCCACCACACTTTAGCTCCACTTCTTATTCATCAGAAACTATGAAAGTCTTATTCAGGAATTTCAAGAGGGAATGACACTGGAGCCCAACACATATGTAGATACTGCTCATGTTCCGGGAAAGATGCATAAAAATAGTTTAATAAATAATAATATACAGCATTTGTAGCACATCAGTATCCTTTCCAAGAGAACGCTCATGGAATAATCGTATACTAATTTGAGTAAAGACAAAATTTCTCTGATGATTTACCGCCCAGACGTGTGCACAGCTCTGGAAGAAATATATCATGACACCATTCTTTTAAATGTCTTACCATTATTGGCATATTCTGACTTTCTATTCAAAACATTTATTTTAAAAAAAAAAAGAGTAAATTCTGTATTTTCAAATTATTTATTTATTAACTTTCTAATCGTATATTTATATTTATTGTTGTTATTCATTATTGTTATTCGTTATTTTTTTAGGTGAAGCTTTTAATAATTTTCCCACTCCATGTAATAAAGCGCATAGAGGTATTTTACATTATGTGCTATATAGACAATTATTATTATTATTTATGTCCATTAAAATATCTTTAAAAAAATATTTTACAATAACACAAATCTACAAAACATTTGATGAGGACTTGTACAGTACTACTAAGGCAACACATGTTACAATTCATTAAATTCAAATTACGTGAAAAGATTTTAGAGTAATATTGAGTATAATCAAGGCAATTCAACAGAAGGACGCACATCTCGGGACATCAAAGATTATAACTCTGGCATCGACATTCTAGGCGCACATGCGTTCCTACACGCTGAACGTCACAAAAACCATAGCAACCAGGCCATAAACCATCAGCATACGTGACGATTTACTCACGCGCATGTTAGTTGCCATGATAATCGCGCGTCATGTGGTGATTACAAAGGCCTAATGATATTTTGCACTAACATTAGACTGAAATTATATTCTTCATTTCAACATTAATTTTACAAAATTTGTGGTGAATTGTCGTTCATGAGACTCACTTCGCAGAAAAAATTAATAAATGTTCTGTATATACTCAAATGTTCGTTTTCGGCACTTATGCCAACATTGTCAAAATAACAGATTAATGTCACATAAGAACATGAAATTTTATAAAATTCGTAAATTTTAAATTGCTATTAACTTTTCATTTTCTTGGTCAATTTTCACAAATCAAATTGCAGTTTATAGAAGCATTTAACAAGCTCGCGGTAAAAAAAATCAGATGTAACAGGCATTGCGAAGCACCCAAAATAAAACTCCATGAAATGAATGGCACACATAAACTAATAATTGACGGCTGTACTCGCAACTAGTATCGGATTGTCAATGCCACAGTAAAGATCAAAGGACTGTACGCACGCACTATGTTCGAGAGCAGAGATGTGCATCCTTCTGTTGAATTACAGTACCTTGGTATAATATAGATAAGTGGAACGCACCACTTTAGAGAGTGCAGCTGATACAAAGGCATATGTGGCAAAGACAAGCCAAACCAGTCACTCGTCGCAAATTGTGTTTCAGAGAAAATAGCAAAAACATGCTAGAATATAAATTTTTTTTAAATCTATTTTATTTCACTAAACTGAGGTTTATGTATCTATACATCATGCTGTGCTGTTATTTTTCCCAATTTCAATGTTAAAACAACACTTTTTAAAGATTTTATGATAGTTTCTGCATGAGAAATGCCTGAAATCATAAACTTTGAAGGCTGATTTCTCATATATTGTTCTTTAAACAGCTGTATGCTTAAATGCTTGTAACTTCATAAGCAAATGTCGGATTTTAATGATTTTTTACCATTTTATAGCTCTTATTTTACTCTTTAACCCTGTATTAATAACTCAAAATCGATTTTTGCGACGAGTGACTGGTTTGGCTTGTCTTTGCCACATATTATGTTCACTATAACAGAATTGATTTTAATTGATTTTTGTTAATCCTCTTTTTTCTTTATGATGTTTTTTTTTTCAGTTTTATCTGACTGTATGTACAAATTGTATTGTGCTTTTTATAAGGCTAAATAAAGAATGAATGAATGAATGAATGAATAACATTAATGTAGTAGACCACATCCTAACCAACATCTAGTAATTGTGCCTTTAAGGGGTGTACTGTATGTGATGATGTTTATCTGCATGAAACAACAGAGGTTATGTACTTAAAAAGACAGTCTAGGTAGTGAATTCCACAAAGCCATAGCTCAGTGAATGCAGCTTCTTACTAATTGTTTGTTTCTATATTATTCAGAAACTAGGATGTTTTTGTACCATGATAATCAATTACATTCAAGTTGGCTGTGCTCAATTTGGGCAGATCAATCACAATGTTCCTTCTCATGTGTTACTTGTTGGGCCATATGGGCCTTGTATTCAATTTTTTGAATAAAGTGTGCTACAGTACATACATACATAAAACAAAATCGCCAAAAATATTGATCAAGAAAATTCTCAAAACTAACCAAGCACCAACATGGAAAACGTTTATGCTTGCTTATTTACCAAAATTTTAGTGTAAACACACAAACATGCATAATACATAAATCTGGTCCATTTGTTCAAGCTATGCTCCTATGCATTAAGAACCAAACTGTCTTCATACTTACTCTTCTATGCCGTGTCTCCTTTGATGGTTTGCCTGGTTTCCCTTCATTCGAAGTTTCACCTGTGTCAGAAACTGGTTGTCGATCTAATTCTCTACAATTAGGTTCAGTAGTGGTGTTCACAATTGAGCAAAATGTTATCGGAGCAATTTCTGCTTGATCCTTGCAATCGATAAGGTAAAACAAAATTACTAGATATCAGAATTTTTTTATGACCAGAAAACTCTACCAAAGCCATCTTGGATGCTAACTTGAATTTATTTTAAATGGAATTTGCACAATAAAGTGAATAAATTATTATTAATTATGAAATAAACTGTAAAATGACCAATGAGGAAAGAACATTCTGTGCCGTTATATTAAAATACTTTGTACAATTTTATAAATATGTTATAATGCCATGAAACAAGGATAAAGTTGCTGATGCTGTAAAAGAAAATGAGGAAATTTGTTGGTGCTTCATTTTGACTAAAATGATGTGATGATTATGAATTTCATTAGTGTCCTTTCCAGCCGTCTAGATATACCATTTCCTCAAATTTTCGTGGTGGGTTTGAGGTGGGTGCAGACTCAATAACCATTTTCCCTATCCCCACGCCTTCCAAAACAGATTTGTGCCCTTTTCCTTGCCTTGTACAATCTTGTACATAGAAGCAGCTTTATTATGAAAAATGAGTCATAGCTTGACACATTTTCAAGATCATCTTTGCTCATTTCCGAATACTAAATTTGCTCCCCACCCCCCCCCCCCCCCCAAATATAACATTACAGTAGTCAAAATGTAGCGCTATTATAGATTTACATCATTGTTTAGAGAGTTTGAGGTAGTAAACTATATGATCTCTTCAAGTAATATTAAAGCCTGGCAAGACTTACTTTTGACATGATCAGTTTACTTATCCCATGACCAAGTTTCATCAATTACCTAAAAAAGTTTTGTACTTATTCAAACATTTTTTTAAATTAATTTTTTTATTTATTTAAGCACACAACACATGCACCAAGGATTGTCAATAGTGAATATATCACTATCAATCTCTCACAAGACCAACATACACACACAATGCTTTACACAGACTAAATCTCAATATGAGCTTTAAGGAGTGAAGTTGTTTTGGTCACTGACAGGAATTCAACCCAGGACCCTGGGATTGGAAGGCAAGCATCTTTTAAGATGAGTTGGGTTAAAACCACCAAGCTATTCAACACCATTGATATGTTAGGATCCCCAGGGTTGTAGATAATAAAAACTAAGGGTGGGGATAGATATTGTGGGTGGGTGGTATAACTACATCCCTGGATCCTTACAAGTATTTATAAATTTGGCCAATTTTGGAATCTTCCAATAAACATACATTCTGTTTTTTAACATTTAAAATAAGTTTGTTACTTGCTAATGAATTATTTTTGTTTTCTAGATCATCATGAGATGCATAGTAAATGGCTGTGTCATCTACACAAGACTCCACTGGCTTCCTTCCATTCAGACAACTCATTTTCAGTTCAATTTCAATTTGTTCAAATCAAAAATAGCAATGACATGTCTGAATTGCTAGTGATGTACAACATTTAAAATGTATAACCAGAGCTTTGCAGGCGTTAACATTCTTTTTTTAAATTTTTACTTCAACCATCTTTAAAAACGGTAACCCTTCTAGTTTAGCCCAATAGGTTAACTTATATTCAGGGGCCCTCTTTAATAAAATTAAAAAACAGTACAAACAACATCATTACAACATAATAATAATAATAATAATAACAATAATAATAATAATAATAATAATAATAATAATAATAATAATAACAATAACGTACAATCCTCATGCATGATACATACTTAACCAACCATATTTTCTGATAAAGTCATCATAAATGACATACTCAGAAAATATGGTTGGGTCAAATTTGTGTGGTGGTTAAAAAATTCAGGGGAGTCTTTATGGCCCAAAATAGTGATTTTAGACTACATTGATAATGTAATTTGATAGGCAAATTACAGTTATATTTTTAGCAAATTTCTTTGAAAAAATTTTGTAGGCCTAGTGCTTAGGCCTAGCTAGGTATACAGTATTTTCATTTTACAGTATTTTGGAATGATATCGGGAGTGGGGGAGCTGGCAGTGGCCTACTAGACTACAATTTATTTGAAAATAGCTTGGGCCCGATAGTCCACACCAGTTGGGCCCAATCGTCTGTCATGTACACAACCTAAGCCCTAGGCTAGGCCTAGAATTGCTGCCATCATTCTTAAATTTTACACACATTATATGATGTATTTTACATATTAGGCGATAACACGATATCATTGATTAAACAATCTACCACCCCCGCATCGCAGTAACTACTGTACTAAATGACTAAACTAGGCCTAGGCCTCATGTTTTTTTGGAAAGCCTATACCAGATAGTCGTTATGTACCCGACAATCGCCTGCCTTTATATCTTCACTTGTCTTCAGTTTGCATTCAAAGGGTACACTGCTGCATAGCCAACTGTCGGGGATACTATACCTTCATATGACTAATCATACAACAGAAAAAAACGTCGCATGGAGATCTAAATGAAAAAAACTATGTATTTCAGCAAGTATTAAAACCTTTTTTTATTTTAGGCCTTCTTCAAAATGCCTATACCTACAGCAGTTGATTTTTTTTTGCCGCAAAACCAAAATAGATCCATTCATGCCAACTTGGTTAGCGTGAGCTCTGACTGAACACTGCAGAAACTTCACATCGAACTTCGCATCGCGAGGAAAAACTTTTTTTCACACATGCGCATTTGTCTACACACACACACACACACAAAAATAGACAACCCAGTATCGGATTGTTAATTCACAGCATGTGGACTCACATGTTCAACAGAGACTCTCGCTGCTAAAAATAACTCGCTACATAATGCATTACAAGTCAGCAGTCTTCCTTGTGATGGGTGTGTTTGGTTGGATTGGTTGTTGTTGGGCAAAAACTAACCTATGACATCAAAAAGAAAGTTTAGGCAAAGGCTGGCCTAGTTTGAGGTAAAGACCAAAGGCTAGGTGCCTATGAGGCCTACTGTAACTATGATTAGGGGGTTCCCTTCCCTTTGATGCTCGAGTAATGTCTGATTTTTCATGGAATATAGGCCTAGTTTTGGATTGGCCATTGGATGACAGGGCAGTTGTTTAAATGCATCTGCCACTTCGAAAAACGATGTCATGTGTCATGTGTTCATGCACACAAGAATTCCCAGGGGAATATGTGCCCTAGAGTATATACTATTATTTTTTTTTTTTTTTAGCACACTTCATTTTGTAGTGTTATATGAAGATGAATTTAGGTAAAATATACAGTATTCTTATATAAGCCTAAGTTTGCATCGATTCCCTTTTATGTCCTATTAACATAACATTACATGATCTGCTGTTGATTGAAATATATTTCATAATGGCTGGTTAATGTAGGCCTATACATTTATCAGCAAGATTTTTTAGGTACATGAGTGAAATTTCCAGGCACCTAAAGGTCTATATTATCACAATTTTTGCACATCCACCCCAGCTGCATTAGCCATTTACTTTTTAGCGTATATGGATACGTCGTATAATAAATGGCCTTTAATTTTACTGTAGACAGTGTAAATGTGGTAGCGTAGACCATAAATACTTATTGATCCTAGCCAGGTAGGAAAAAATGTTAATGGTTATTAATAACAATAATAATAATAATAATTTTAAAAAATCACAATTTGAATAATTTCATTAGGATTGAAACGTAGCAGTACCTATATATTTTTACTTGTAAAAATTCTACAATAAAAATTACAAATTGTTGTAATAATACATGCCATAAAGTTTGATCCTAACCAAAAAGATGCTAAATGTTATTAATAATATTAATAAAATTACAATTATTAATGGGCCAGAGTTGTTGTAACAATGACAATTAATAATATTATATTGATGATGATGATGATGATCAATAATAATAATAATAATAACTAGACTTACTATGTCTATTTGAACAACAGAACATAGGGCTTTTCCCCATGCTTTTAATGAGAAGAGAAGTTGAAATTGCAACAAAAAGAAAAGTTGTTAAAAGGTATAAAATTTAAAAAAAACATGGTAAACCATTATAATTTTAACAAAGTAGGAAAAAAATGAAGTTCACTGCAACGGTATTAGTGAGACTTGAACTATGGCTGCAATGGCAATAGCAAGGTACATTGTGACCCATTGCGCTATAACAATAAAAACAATAAGTGACTGAAGCCTGGTTCACGTTGAACTTTATCTAGATATACCCGTCTTGAAACATGATACGATAATCCCCTAATTGCATTCGATGCCAAGTTAGAGCCAGATAAACAGCCAGCCAGTTTCAGGCCGTCGATGTCACACGGTGGAAAGGCTTGTTTAATAAAACGTCTACTGTATTTTACGAACCTCTAGTAACAAGGGGTATTCGTTAAAAAAACTGCCAAATTCGTAAACTACTGTATGTAGATCAGCTGTCAGTTTACACTACCTAGCCTAGCTGACCAGGAGAACCAACCGACAGTGCAGCAGCGTGCTCTATTGCAATCTAAGTAGTAGTAGACTCTCTAGGCCCTAGATAAATTTACTTTCGATAAAAAACAAACTATTTAATTCGCTAGCATTCTTCCATTCAACAAAATATTGTTTTAATTCTCGTTAAAACGTCTGTATACTTTATGGACCTTTCTGTCCTGTTTTGTAGTTTTTAGATGGCTCAGTTGTGTTGTTTACATGCACTTCGCGAAAATCTAGCTTCGCGGCGTCAAATAAGTTGCTGACTTCAACACACTTTTTTATTTCGTCATCGTAAACATGTGCGCTCATTTTAACGACTGGTGGTGGTGGTGGTAGTTCGTTGAAACTGAATTAATAGTGACTATTATAGTGGAAATGGAAAAGATTGAATTGTCAATAAATAATAAACACAACAAATCTGATTTTATTATTCATTATTACTTTAGAAAAAGTATGCAATCAGACTTTTTGACGTTGCTACTTTGTCGATGATGCAAAGGGCAAAGGTCATTTGTAATACGACTATTCGTAAAAAGGATGTTTGCTGGGTTTTTACCCATAATATTACAAATAATTTTTGAAAACCATTCTAATGAGACTACTATGCTGCTGTTGTTAGCATTGTTGGAGTAGGTTGTTGCCAGCCAGATGATAATGGTTGTGCAGCACAACAACGCTGGCTGATGCCTACGTTACGTAATCGTGTCCTTGTAATCTGAGCCGACTTTACCGTTAAGCAAGTTAATTTACCGTTATTCTAGTGAAGTTAAGTCACTTTAAGTGACTTAAGCCTTTATCTAGCTATAATTGAGTGGTTCACGTCAAACTTTTAACTAGTTAAGTGGATCTATATAGATAAAAGTTTGACGTGAACCAGGCTTGAAAGCAAAAATTGTTAATGTATATCACGGACCGTAGACTGTTTGACCTTAAATCATTTTAATTGGTCCTCACACGCACACCCCACCATAGATTGACACTAAATATTAGGAGGCACATCCTTGATATACGGCCTATGCTTTGGTAAAGCACAGAAAAATTCTAAGCACTTCTAAGGAAGTGACCAAAGTGACGGCCAGAAAAAACAGTGCAAACAGATAGGAAAAATATATGCAAGAAAAAAGAAAAAAAAAATCAGAACAAAAACAATGTATTTCTTTCTTTCCAATAATAATATTAATAATGATTCAAAAATATTTTTTTTTCCTTTTTTTTATTTTACATAACATAATCAGACAATAATAATAATTGTTAAAATATAATAAACAATAATTAATCAATATGTCTAGTTTAACTAACAAAAGTAGCTTGACTAGGCATGTCTAGGCCTTGTAGAATTAAACCTCTATCCTGTACTTTAGATCTAGTTTACACCTAAAAATTTTAGTGTACACTGTACTGTTTCTTTTATATTTGAAAGCTAGGGGCCTAGCCTAGCATATCCAATTATTCTATAGGTCGAAGTTATAAGTACAAGAAGAGACAGACCGAAAATAATTAATAAATACCTAATAAGGTCTAATTCTCTATAGTTAGCCTATGCCTAACCTACATTAGACACGTTTTTATAAACATTACCGATATGCAGAGCCCTATTTCACTGGCATCCCATCATGCAATTCGGTTGATTACACAATTTTGGGCTTGCTCCTCATTCTTCCTCTATATATTCTTTGATTAAACTTACTTTAAAAAATGCTTTATTATCACACGTTTCGTTCAGTTTCTTTGTCGATTTCTGAAAACTAAATTTGTTCCCCATATTTGGTAACGACTTCTCTGGGCTGATCAAGTCAGTGACAGTATTCTGTAATAAAAAAAAAAGAAAAAAACAGAAAACCATTATGAGTTATAATTATGGAAACCTGGATTGTTATTCCTCCATTAGGTATAATAAAGACACCCTTCTCCTTACGAGATTTGTCATGCAAATTCTACCATTAGGTATGCTTCAAATTATAACTTCAGATACAATTTATAAAACCAAATACAAATTAAACGACACAGTGTACAGTTGCCCTTATATGAGGCATGTCGTGGCAAAATGGTTAAGTTGTCGCATAGGCCAGTATTGAGTAAATGAGCTATCAAATATGGGAGCTCAAAAAATTGCCTAAAAATCCAAATTTGTTTTTTCATTATAGATCAAAAGTTTAATGTCTTATTAATCATGTACCAAAGTATTAGTTCTGGAAGTGGTCATGTTTATTTAATGTTATTTTGATAGCTCATTCTATTAAACAACGTATACACAAATAACTTTGAAAGGCAATTACTCAAAATCATGTTTATCTTGACTCTAAGAGTACTGTACTTTCACTTTCCAATAAACTTAAAGGCTTGAAATGTCCAATTTCAATGAATGACCCCTCATTTTAAAGATCACATACTCAGGTATATGAAAATATCAATAACTTGAATTTCAATTCTTGCTACAACTTGCCTCATATGACAAAACATTAAGATTCAAGAAACTTAATTGACCCATATAAAAATACAGAAAATTGTAATGTTATTACAAAGCTATGCAAAGAGGCTGTAGGTCTCAATTTTTATTAAGGTTATAAGGCTATAATACCCTATTCGGTGGTAATCCAAAACTGATTACTCCCGATCGCAATCAACGAATGCATTCAGACCAACACAAACAAACTTTACATTCTTGGGGACTAGGCCTCCGGTGTCTAGGCCTATGTTGCTGACCTCAGTCAAACAGTGCCTGTGGAATTCGTTGTGATTCATTGCGATCGGATTCCGTGGTAATCGGGAGTAATAAAGATTGTAGCACCTAATCGCAACAGGTAACAATTGCGACATTGATTACATATCGACTACTATTGGTGAGCTTTCACACACGATTTTACTTTGGGTGTCGCAATTGCTACAACCGATCGCCATGCGATGCTAGTCTGAATTTGATACAAGACATTCAAAATTACATTAATCACAGACAAAGGTATTTGACTCTTTGGTAACGAATTGGGCAGTACACCAGATGACAATCTCTCATAATTTTAGTAGCAGTTCATAAACATACATTTTCCTCAAATGCGTTGTCACATTCAGAGTATCCGAGAACCCATTCCAAGTATATGTTACATGTAGATTTAGATTCCGAGCAGCCGGCTGAAAAAAGGAAAGAAATATCAACTATTAAATTTGTACAGAATTGTGTGTTGCTTAATGCAACAGACTTTTTCTTTGACTATTTTTAAAAGCAAAAGCCTCAAAAAGAGACTTTAAAAAGCATCATTTATCCTGTGATTGGCAAGTTACATGCTGTTGGATAACACAAATATAAACAAATGTAGAACATCCCATATCACGACTTGCTTTCAAAGGGATCATCTTTTCCATTACAATTTCTAGTTTGTAAATAACCTGAGCATAACAAATTTCATATACACTGTACACAGGAGCTGTGCAGCAGTTATAATACACCTTTGAGCATCCCAATGACTGACATTTTTAATAGTTCGCTTATACTGCACCTATGGAATGGAAATTGTTGCCACAATCCCAAAAGAACAGTAATGCAACTATTGATAAAACTGAGACCAATCTCCCTAATCCTTGTTCTCACTAAGGTAGCGGAAGATTTTATCACCAAGATGATGATAACTTGGAAATAATGTTGATGACCTCAGTATTGAGAAAGCTGATAAAAAAAAAATTTCACAATCCCACATGGAAGAATATGTTGATTGACTGGTATGAACTCAATAAACTTAAAACTCTACTCTGAGAAATGTAAATCACAATAGCATTTCAAAAACTTTCTCTCCAATATTGATATATGGGATAGGACTTAAATCAGTCTCCGAAAGTAAGCTAGAAGACAATTATTTATGTTGGGTATAGACTAAAAAAGCTGGTATCCCCAAGGAGATATTCACCAAAAGTTGTGTTAGATCATGCACAGAATATGCTGCTGTTGCCTGGCAAACTCGAATCACAGGTATTCAGAGGAGTAGAATCAAATCAATTCAAAAAGGGAGCAAGTAGAATATTATTTTGAGCTTCAAAAAATGATACACACTGTATGAAACTTTGTCGTAGTCTGAAATATGAAGAAAGTGTCATAAGGATGGATAAATATAAAAAATAGTGCAATGCTATTTCTCATAAGAAAACTAAACTCAGAGTTAATAATTTAAAATAATTATAAACATAATAATTAATAGTAACAATAGGTAGGGCCCAAACTAGTCCCACGACCACTAATGATTACAGACCCAAACCAAGGCAATATATATACACAGCCCAGGTGTGAATGCAAATAGTGGAATACAAGCTATGTGGCTCGGTTCCAGTAGATACAGAGAATATTTTGTCATTTTTAACGCGTCCTACGAAATTCTTAACGAGACAGCACTAGTCCGTGAACTTGTGAACAAGATCGGAGATCTAAAGATGCAATCTCTACCGTGCATCAATGGCGGCCCGCTGGATCTCAATAGAGATTCTTTAATATATAAAAATTTTAAAAGGCAAATGGGAAAAACCCATAAAACAGCAAACGGCCACATAATGCAAAACTATTACTAACAATTGCTATAATCTTTAGTTTTCTTGGTCAATTTTCACAAATCAAATTGCAGTTTATAAAAGCATTTAACAAGCTCGCGGTCAAAAAAAAAAATCAGATGTAACAGACATTGCAAAGTACCCAAAATTAATAAAATAAAAACACCATAAAACGAATGGCACGCATAGACTAACAATTGACGGCTGTACTCGCAACTAGTATCGGATTGTCGATGCCACAGTAAAGATCAAAGGACTGTTATGCACGCACTATGTTCGAGAGCGGAGATGTGCGTCCTTCTGTTGAATTACCTTGCATTTACTGCACACAGCCCTTGGACAAAAGTGCAAGTAATCAGCAGGCTACATAGTTTTCCAAATAACAGAAATGAAAGTTGGTGTTTTGGGGAAAAAAAGCGTTAAAAATTTGATTTTCTGTCAATATATGAAATTACATGTTATTTTTCATAGTCTAAAGTGCATTAAAATATTCATAACATGACTATTGTAATGACTGTCAATCATTTTGAAGCAAGTCCAAACATGTTTCAGATGTGGAAATAGCAGTTTATGATACCTACCTTCTTTTTACCAATTTTATGATCTGCAAAGTGTCAAGTGTCCTAAAATTAATATGAAAACACGTTTAAGCCTTTACATTAAACAGTTTCTACTGTAGTACCTTTATGTATGTATTTTCAATAAATAAACATGTTTTGTTGATACAACAAGTTTCATTTTTGACCCCCTGTGAGACTTTCTTGCAATCTTTCCCATGAAACTGCCCATGGTTTAAAAATATCTAGTTTATTTACATACTCTATTCATGATACATCCATCTAATACAAAGCTATGTGATTGTTGTTGTTTTGATAAACCAATATTTGTATACCCTTTCGGACACATTACACACATACTGTATTTCACATTATACTATTTCAAACCATATGAAATTATTTGATCATTTAATAGAAAGTTCAATATTTAAAAAAAAAAAAAGAATATTTGGTCATTAACATTGCATAATGAAACAATATTGGGAATATATTTAACTATAAAACCGAAAGGTCCACTGATTAATCTCAGATAAGATAGTGCAATTTACATACTCCAAATATCCAAATGCACGCCATTGTGTCAGGATTCAATATTTTGACATTAATTATGTCATCATCAGGAACGAAAAATTATCCATATCTGCTAGCTTATATGTACCAAAAGTGTTTGACCTATCAAAACATTACCCCTAGTAGGTGACATAGCTATGAATAAGCTAAAGATCAAAGCATCCTTACCCTACTTATCAAAGCTACCTACAAAAACAAAGAAAGCTCCTTTGAAGCTTTCATTCCATCGTTAAGCAATGGTGTAGCCTACGTATAGCAAACGCTTCTTTAAACATTTAGTATAGACCAATTTTGTGAAACCTGTCAATAATGTTAGTATTAGAAAATATTAAACCTAGTTTATTACTTACATTACAGGCTACATTATCATTTTCAAGTATACCTTGTAAACCTTGAAAACATATTGGACTGCCTCACAATTTTGTATATGATCATTTATAAGAATATCTATCAGAGTCTAGTTATTAAGCATCTACTGTATCTGTCTTACCAATATAATCACTATTACCACCTGGACATTCTAAATGATAAACAACAGAGCTCCTATTCCAAATAGGGGTTTGATCTTTAGTGGATAAAATGTGTGAGAGACATTTTTTACTGCCATAAATTTATGAATTTTACCTCTTTAACTAAGAGTTTCTTTACTTTGTTTAAGCATCTACGTAAAATGGATTCACCTGCCTTTCTTAGATAAGGCATTCTAACCCAGATCTTAATCAAGCTATCATCAGAAGGCCTATGTATACATTTAAGTTCACTTAATTTATTGAGTACATGGTTAACAACTTCTAAAGGTTACCCATTCCATGACATAAATTTTCTAATGTTACAAAGTTCTGCTTGAAGTTTATCGAGAGTACCGGCGTACACAGTTTGTGGGCTCTTGAAACTAAACTACAAATCCAAGAAATCTTATATGGTCCCACAGTGCAAAGCTATCATAATGGATATATTGACCTGTATGTGTATTTTTACGATATACTAATGCTTCCTACGCTGTTGTCAAATTTATTGTAAATCCAGAAAATGTACTAAATCACTGTTTTCAAATGATTCAAAGGTAAAATTAGTATGTTTATGAATTGAAAAGCGTTAAAGTGACGTAGGATGTGATAAAAATCATTAGGCTATAGCTAGAACTAGTTATGATGACATAATTAATGTCCAAAAATTGAATCCTGACACGACGGCATGCATTTCGATAGTTGGAATTATGTATTATACTATCTTATAAACTATTGTTGTTTTAATACATTTCTGCTGATTTCATATTATAAATCAATTGTATTTTCATTGAAAATTACTGCTATAAATTAGTTCTTAACTGATTCTATGTCAATAAAAATAAACTTCTAAAGAATGTACTGTATGTCATCGAAAATATGCCAAAACCCCTATTTAGGGGACAATTTTATGTTTCAATTTCTAAAAATAAAGCATACACGCAGGTGCAGTATACAGTTGTGTTGACTGACCTGGTGTTCGCGCACTGTGGTACTGTACAGTAGACATGGAGCCACTGTTTTATCATGGAGGCATGGTTTTATCAAGACTGCTGAATTTTAAGTGTACAGTTTAATGATTTTAATTGGGAATCAACATGGAATAACATGCTCCAATACGGTATCAAATTATTCTTGAACTTCAATTTTCTTATTGTTAAAAGATAAAGACAGTTTCAAAATTTTAAAAAATAAAAACATTTTTCTATGAATAAAATAAAATATTATCATTTTCATATATAAATAATAATCGCAAGCACCAAATTTTTTCATTGACCGACTTCCTACACACAACTCCTACACTATCACATTGCAATGCGTGTTGCAATCACGTGTTGCATTAGTAGACACTCATCAATTCGCTGCCAAGGGCAAAAACAAGAGCAAATGAGACATAAACACTGGGCGTACGATGTGGCCGGCAAAGACCAGACATACGCTGTGGTCACGCATGGCAAATATCTGACAAAAAGCTGTTACATGTTCAGCTGTATGCCGTCTGATTTACGATGTATTTCAAGCTCTGAATCTCGAACTTAAAAGGATTTTTAGGCTTTGGAAGACGATGCATTTCATTACACTGAAATCTTCAAATTATTGGGTGGGATTGTACCGGAGTGCCTGATTTTGATGAAAATGACGCAAAAGGCAGAGGTACGCTTATAGCTGAGGGCGGGCTTATACCCAAGGGCGGGCCTGTACCCGCATCAGTACGGTATATACAGGCACCAAAATTTGTTAGCTTGGCTTCACAGCCAGTGTAATCCTATACTCGTTGGTATATTTCACAATAATGATTGTCTTTATAAAATTGTGAAAGAAGAAGTTAATGATATGTTGGTCCACTATTATTCTTATACCTTGTTTTGTTTTGTTTTGGTTGTGTGCTTAACCTGACGAAATACAAGCATTCATTTCCAACAAATTACTAACCTCTTTAATTTTCATTTAATTGAACATCTATGACATATAATTTGAACAAATATACTCATACAATAATCTGGAATATTTAAAATTGTGTTTCATTTTAGGCCCAAATTCTATGCCCAAATTTTAGCGGTCAAATGTAGTACGGCGTACCAATTTTGGAGACAAAAATCTGTCCACCTGATCTTTTTCGGCCCGGACAAATTTTGACGCGACAGGTCCTTTCATCTATGGTGTTTTCATTTTAGCTAAATTGCAAAAGAATTTAGTCTTGAAATCAAGTACATTTTCTCTCTCTAAATCCATTGTTTAAAATCATTATTATTGATAATTAATGAAAAACTATTATTAAATTCTCTTACCTTTAAGTATTACATCAGTATTGTTGAATAAACTCTTAGTAATAATTGTATAATTATTCTGAAAGAAAAACAATTTTAATAATATATTACATTTTGCCACAAATGAAATTAATTTAAATTGTATACAAACAGGAGCAGTTCACATACCTAAAAGCTCGAATTGAAGCCCTGGGCTTTTTTTTTTTTTTTTTTTTGCGAACTTTGAATGGGCTTCTGGGTGATTCCATGTCAAATCAACCAGTTTCAGAACAAATCCCCAGGTGACCCCCTCAGATTTTAATGAAATTTGGTCAGAATGATGATATGTTGCTCATATGAACACATGCAA